TGTGCACCCATTTGTGGTTTAATGCATTCGTCTTTTTCTGACTTTTTAACTCTGACTTCAGTAAAATGCTCCTAGAACTGAATAAACACATTTCTGGAGACTGTGGTTCAGTTTGGCTGTGCGGTTAGTTGGGGTTTTTGAGACCAGCAGCTCTGGCACAAGATGCCCTTGGCTCTGTGGTGAGTGCAGGCCAGGACAACGTCCAGGCTGTGACCATTTGCCCAGTGGGCAGTGCTCTCAAGGCTATTCCTGGCTGTGTGGCAGTTCCCTCCGGTGCCCTTGGCACTCAGGCTCGGCTGCTACCCTCTCGCTGTTCAACCATCAGTGTTCTCCCCGTCCCACCTCTTGCCTTCTAGGTCACAGAAGATTTGAAGAGGACAGTTCCCACCATCCAGGTTATTTGTGTTGGCAAATATCACAAATCAGGATGATCTAGACAGAAATACCACAGATATTAGAGTTTTCCCAGTAAAATTCTTAACTGATATTTGTCAGTATCCTAGAATCCACTGCCTTCTCCACTCAAACAGGGACCATGGTGATAGCTGTTGGACCAGGTACACATCCATCATTATCTCCTGAGATAACTCCTCTCTGCCACCAGAGGACCAAAGTGAAGTCACAGCTCTTCTGCCAGCCAGGCCATTCCTCTTCGCACCAAATCAGAATCTAGATCTGACAGGATCAAATCATTTTACCAGCTGGAATATCAAATTAAATGGAATTGTGATTATTTTGTTTAGTCCTATTTGGAGACTAAGGTGTGCCTGATACAGGCCATGGTCTTTGCCATTACTTGCTATGCATCAGAGAGCTGGACAGTGACTAGGGAGGATAGAAGGAGAGTTGATGCCTTTGAGCTGTGATGATGGAGAAGAGTATTGAATATACCATGGACTGCTAGAAGAACAAACAAATCGGTCCCGGAGAGGGTGAAACCAGGATGCTCCTTGGAGGCAGGGATTCTGAAGCTTCATCTGACATACTTTGGGCATGTTGCAAGGCAGGATCGATCAGTCCTTAGAGAGGGACATCTTGCTTGGGAGGGTGGAAGGACAGAGCAGGAGAAGAAGACCCTCAGTGAGATGGATTGATTCTGTGACTGGAGTAATGGGGATAAGGGTGTTGGAGACAATAAAATCGGCATGTCATAGTGCAGAGTTTAGGACTGTTGTACACAGGGTTGCTATGAGTCACAAGTGACTTGATGGCACATAACAACAACAACAACAATATAGATTATTTTCTGAAAAAATTAATGCCATTTCTGAAAAACATGCTATTTCAATAAAGAGAAACAAGATGGAATCTATTTTAATCTCTGAGATTTTTCTCAGTGCATTCATTGAATTTAAGGTTCTTGAAGAGGCAAATGAAACTACTCAGGTCAATGTGATACACTCAATATCAAATGGTACCATGGTTACACTGAAAGGGCTCACAATTAATCTAACTACTTGAAATGTAAATTGGAGCATATGAGGATTCTTAAGAGCACCAGCAGAGTGAAGTTTTTTTGGATTATTCCTTCCATTAACACACACACACGCACACACATCTCTTGTGGTTCATCTGCCTTGACTTCTAAAAGGAATCGGAACTATAAAAATTCAGTGTTGTTGACCTTTGTTTCACCACCCACAAAAATCACAGGAAGCAACTCTCATGGTACAGTGGGTTAAGTATTGGGCTGATAACGTAAACGTTGTCAGTTCAACTCACTAGCTACTGCACAGGAGGAAAATGGGGCAGCCTTCTCCTGTTAATATTTACTGCCTCAGAAGTGTTAAAGTGGTAGATCTTGTCTGCCATATATGGGATCGCTACTGGTCAGAATTGACTCAATGATAGTGGGTCAGACTTTTGGTAAATCCACGCGCTACGCTTTACCAAACCTATTATAAGGATGTTTAAAATGATATGTTGTTGTTACGTGTAACTGAGGCGATTACAACGCTGAGTAATCTCATGCCACAGAGTAGAACTGCCCTACAGGCTGTAAGCCCTGGCGGCTTGTCCTTAGGTGCTGTTGAGTCGAGTATGACTCACAGCGACCTTATGAATAAAAGATATGAATCCTATTCTATCCTGTGCCATTCTCATACTTCCTGACAAACAAGAGCCCATTGCAGCAGTCACTGTATCAATCCACCTAGTTGAGGGTCTTCCTCTCCTCTGCCGACCCTCCACCCTTCCTAGCATCATGTTCTTCTCCAAGGAATAGCCCCGTCTAGCAACATGTCCTCAGTATGTGAGATGAATAAGCATTTGCTAAGATATTTTAAAGCTGAGGCATGCATTGCCTTGTGTGCATGCATTGTATCAGGTTCAGAGATTATCCAAGGCTTTTGTGCTGTGATATGCTTTTCATGTATATAGTACACAATTTATATTACTTATGAAACTAAGTGTTGTTTTGTGAAGGTGCATTTAAGATGAGTTCTTTCTTGCAAACCATAATTATTTCGAGATCATAAATAACAACCCTCACTGGCTGTTCCTTTTGCTATGGTATATTATTCTCTTTGATTTTTAAGGCTTTGTGGTTGTTTTCTCCCCCCTTAAAAAATAAATTGTAGTGGCACTTAAAAAATTGTTGTTCCAACGTATTTTGGTATAAACATTCTTTTGTATTCCATGGTAGTACTTCTTTTTAAATTTTAATGAGTATTTTTTATTTGAGTATCACATTTTGTTCCCGTAAAGAAAGGGATACCAAGCATTGGTTGCTAAAGCAATCACTAAATTGAACTTGTGTGCAATACACTGGACCAAGAATATTTTCTTTTTTTTTTTTGGTTTTTTTTTTCTATAATTATATTTTATTAATTTTCATAAACATTTACAGAGATTTTGGGCTTCCACTCATTCATTGTTGCACTATTCTCTCTACCAAGAATATTTTCTTTCTCTTCCTGCCCTGTGTGGCTCTCATTGCCTCTCGTTTCTTCAAAAGTTGACTCATGCATTTTGAATTTATGGTAAAAGGCGAAAGAATGATTTACTGTTAGCTCAGGTCCACAGCCTCATCAATTTCTCCTCTTTTACCTAACTAATCATCATCATTACTAATTATGCTCCAGAAAACAAACTTGAATGTGAAACAAATCAATGTATAAATCAGAAAGGCTGCTGTCAAATGAAGCACCAAAAATAGGAATTGCTTTCCCAGTCGATTTTCTTGTTCAGCTGGGTTTTGTAAAGACCAGACTTTAGACTTGAACAGAGTTGGGAATTGAGGAGTATAATTTAATTTGAAGGAAGCTTAGCATAAATTAAGTGAACATTACTTGAAGCATAAATCATGAAGAAAATTGCATGTTGGTTTTGTTGAAAAATGATGGTGTGGCAGGACTTGGGACAGGGCCAGGGCAGAGCACATGCATTTTGCTCAATGCTGTGCGCTGTTCAGATGTGGAACCAGGGCGGCTGTGGGAAGACCACACATCACACCTTCCAGTGTGGGAGGGAGGAGAGGATGGAAACAGCACTGGAGCCGTCTAGCCACCTACTGCACCGTGGGAGCACTTTGAACTCCCAGTGGCTCCCACCACCTTTCATCACTCCCTTTGGCGAGGGGACAGGATGGGGCAGGCTCAGAAAAGCCAAAGGACGTGCTAGCTTGGCACCACCGATTAGTGACAGATTCAGACTTGAACCCAAGGTTCTTTGAAGCCAGGGCCCCTTTCTTTTTATTTTAAGCCTGCTTTCCAATTTTTATATGTGTTGTTATTTGCTGTTGTGTGGGCTCTGACTCAAGGTGATTTATGTATAACAAAATGCTTGGATCTATACCATCTTCATGATTGCTTTTATGCTGAATTTATTACTGCAATGTTACTTTATTGTTCTGTGTTGTCCAGTTGGGGCTGACGTATAGCTAACCCTCCAGCGGGTTTTCAGAAGCAGTAAATCACATGGGAGGGGATTTCCCATCTTTCTCCTGTGGAGCAGCTGATGGATTCAAACCACGTACATACCTTTTTCAGTTGCCAGTGCAACTCCTTACCGCTAGGCCCCCAGAGCTCGCAGTAGCTACTCTGCAGTGCCTTCCAACAGAGGGACTCGTTATACTGGACGCTAATCTGTTGTGATCCAGAAAGCTTTCACTGGCTGACTTCCGGAAGCAGATTGCCAGGCCCTTCTTCCTAGTCTGTCCTGGTCCGGGAGTCTTCTGAAACCTATCATCTTTGGATCACCCTGTTAGTATGGGAAAGACTACCGGTGTGGGTTCCAGGATCACAGCAGCAAGCGGACCACTGTAGTATGGCAGAATGAAAGGTGGGATTATACACAAAGGCAGGCAAATAAATTTGTGGTCACTATTTCATTGCCTGTGTTAGGAGGCTGCGCTGGAGTCTCAAAAGGCATGTGGTTCGAAGCCACCAGCAACTCTGCGAGAGAAGGTTGAGCAGTCTCTTTTGGTGCAATTTACTGCCCCTGAAAACCCACTGGAGGGTCAGTTCCGACTGGGCGGAACCCAAAAACAGCAGCATATCAACATTAGCTTGCTCTGGTGAGATGTTGTGTTGCTGACCCAGAACCTCATGATTTGAACCCATCATCCGTTCTGAGGGATGAGAAAGGTGCGCGTTCTCCTCCTGAGCCACTTGGAGCCGTTGAACACCAGCTGGAGGGTCAACTTGGAGTTCGTTTTGACTCAGTGGCATATCAAAATGTCACAGAGTTGGTGGCTTATAAGAACAGAAGATTGTTGCCCGAGATAGTTCTGGACACAGACAGTCCAATGGCAGGCTGCCTCCAGAGCACCTTCTTAAGGAAGGTCTTATTGTGTCAGGAAAGCAGCAATAAAGCTTTGTAACTGCTGGCATCTCAGCTGCTTTGAAATGACTCCTTGCATCTTTTTGTCTCCTCCAGGAATGAGCACCAGCGAGGCCGCTGGGACCCTGTGAGCTCCAGGACCCCCGTGGCATTGGCCCGGTGAGAGGAAGGCAGGCGCTGGCCAGGTGGGGACCGAGGAGGAGCCCCTGGCCCGGCCCACCATGGAGACGCTGTCACAGAACTCTCTGCTAGAATGCCAGATCTGCTTCAACTACTACAGCCCGCGGCGCCGGCCCAAGCTGCTGGACTGCAGGCACACGTGCTGCTCCGTGTGCCTCCAGCAGATGCGGACCAGCCAGAAGGACGTGCGCTGCCCCTGGTGCCGCGGCGTCACCAAGCTGCCCCCCGGCTTCTCGGTGGCGCAGCTCCCCGACGACCCCGAGGTCCTGGCCGTCATCGCCATCCCGCACACGTCGGAGCACACCCCGGTCTTCATCAAACTCCCCAGCAACGCGTGCTACATGCTGCCCCTGCCCATCTCCAAGGAGCGCACGCTGCTGCCCGGAGACCTGGGCTGCCAGCTACTGCCCGGGAGCCAGCAGAAGCCGGTGGCCGTGGTGACCGTGGCCGAGCAGCAGCCCCGGGAGGGCGGAGCGGCCCTGGAGGCGGCCGCGGAGGAGCCGGACAGGCGTGGCGTGGTGAAGAGCTCCACCTGGTCGGGTGTGTGCACGGTCATCCTGGTGGCCTGCGTCCTCGTCTTCCTTCTGGGCATCGTCCTGCACAACATGTCCTGTATTTCCAAGCGCTTCACTGTGATATCCTGTGGCTGAGCGGGGCTCCCGCGCACAGGCTCTGTGGGTGCCAACTTAGGGGGTGAGCAGGTGTTGGTGATGGGATCCCGGTGAGAAGAGGGGGCGACACTGACCATGGGGTGCCGAGCACTAGCCTCAGGGTGGCCGTTGTTGAACCCAGAATGGCCACAGCAGGCAGCACGGAAGGTCTCCGCAAGATCCCAGACGTGTCGTCCTGAGATGTCGATGGCAACAGCTTTGAAGCCGATTGCATGCATCCTCATAATCGTTTTACTAAATGGACTGTACTGTATGATTACTCAAAATCATATTTCCAGATAGACGCATTCTACTTAGACTTCAAACCATGTGATCTTCTCTAAATGCGGTAGATTAAAACAAAGATGCTCTGTGTACAAGTAGAACCAAACCTGAGAATCCGTGTCAAAATTCAGTGAAGATATGACGGGTCTTGTTTTCTTTCTCGGCAACCCTGTCTTCCTTTCGTGGTTAAGGCTTTGGATACGTTTTCTGTCGCCCTGGGTGAGAATGAGCACGCGGACAACCGTTTCTAGCGGAGAAGCTATTGAACAAGTGTTTCCTATGTGTTGTGTTTTGTCACGTACCTTCCTTTCTCTTCACTTGTAGTGAGAATTCACTGCGTATTTATTGATGGGAAAGTCCCACCAAGAGAACAATAAACCCAGCAGTGTGAGGTGCATTGCCTTGTCCCACGGGAAGCCCACATGCCAATTTTTCTCAAGCCATCTCACAAAAGAAGAATTTAAGATGTAAATATTGTGCGCGCGCGTGTGTGTGTGTGTGTGTGTGTGTGTGTGTGTGCGTGTGCGCGCGCCTCTCATTTGATTTACCTCAGGTTTTAAAGTCTTTTCGGAGAGAATCCTGGGAGTAAAAGGTTATGGCAATGCGTTGGATGGTGGCCCCTGGGTACTGGTACATTCCTCTTTCAATACTTCCTCCACTGCGTATTAATCCGGGATTAAGCGAGGGCAAGGGTGCTGAATAACAGGAGTCTTGTCTTCCAACCCTATTGGGAGGCATCATACTAACCATAGGTACTTTCAATTGAGACAGACCTGGACAGTGTGTGTTCTCATAGATAAACCAGGATGATTGTTAGAAAGATGTCCCGTGGGAGTTCAAATGCTTAGAAGAGGTCCAATTCCCTCTTGTTGGTATACTCGAGATTATCGCTTATATTTCAAAATGTGTTGTTTTTGAGAAAAGTTGTAATCTAAACAATTGATATTCCCATTTCAAATGGACCAGTTTATCATACTTCTCATATACTTCTCCACAGTGTACAGATCAATGTTTATGGCGAAAGCTGTGCTGGTGTAAAATGACAAATTCATGTCGTGGGCATATGAGGGCACTTGGTAGCAGCTGTGAGCTTTATAGTTCTTTTTCTCATTTCTTTTATGGAAATCATGAAGTAACTGGAATGTGACAAGGATGCTTCTCAGATAGATGTCTGTCTTTAAGCTCCAACGAATCCTTGAAAGTAGGCAGGCATGCAAGCATTGAACAGCTAGTTCCAAAATGCAGGGCTTGCAAACAGCCTTTTAAGATGAGACATAATTTCATTTCCTCATATGTTACTATCTCCGGGAAACACAGAATACTGACATGAGGATTCAATATAAAAATAGCATTTTCCAAATTTGTCCCTTAAAATCTTTAGGGCATTTATTTGAAAGCTCAAACTAGAAATTAGGTTGAAATATCGTTCTATTGTGTAAGCTATTGGGCATCATTCAGCAAATAATCTAGGATTTATTTGGTATTAATAAAGTAGGTATCATATTAGCTGAATAATATCCTCTATTACATAACGTGCTATACTGTCGGGTTAGTGTCGATTTCTCTAACTCCCAGGCTGCTGTAATGCTCATCTGACCTAATTTCTATTCCTCTGGGGAAGGAGGGGAAAGGAAAAACAAAACAAAACACCAAATGCAAGAGAAATGTTGCTTTACTACATTTCAAACGTGCTTTACCCTTGCCTTTTAAAACCATGGATTGTTCAGATTTTTCTGGTTGTTATCTATATACATTTATATACACTATGAAGTGACTGAGCTGTAGTGTAGTGTGGTAGAATTCGACTTCTTAAGTAGGTTCTATAGACACTGCTGGGTTGTAGCGCCCTGTACCCTAGAGTAAAACGGCTATGTGACTTTTACATAAAACCGTTCTGTGCTAGATCTGTTATTAAACAGTGCAAAATTCATTGGTTCTAGACCTTACAAAGTTAATAACAATCCATATCGGAATATTTTGGATGAGTGTCACTGATGTAAGATACATTGTTTAAAATGGAATCTGCCTAAAGTTACTTGAGTATGGCTGGTTAGATGTACTTCTTTTCTCTGTGTGTGTGTGTATGCTGTGGGTGGGTGGGTGTGTGTGGCTAGGGATGGGCCTGCCAGGCTTTTCTTTTTATAAGCTGAATGATGTGACTTGGCATCCCATTACTCTGGTTTCTTGTGACATTTATTTGCAACACTAACAACAACAACAACAACAAAATCCAAACAGAAATCTACCCCATGTAACAATAGTTCAGTAACATAATCAGCCACAATTCACATTTGCACATCAGATATAACTACCCCTGAAAGGAACAAGACCACAGAATAAGAGAGCTGAAATCAACCTTTAGTGGTCCCATTTTAGAGATGAGTTCACTGAGGCTCACTGAGGTGCCCCGCAGTTTCTTACTTGGCAGCCAGTGGGGCTGGGGAGCACCGTGCTGCTGTCTCAATGTCCTCTCCCTCCTCCAGCCTGTTCACATTGCTAGGATCCTGTTTAAGATCAGGGGGTAGCCTTTCCTAACTTGACTACGGCTTTGCGGTATTTCACTTTGGGTTCTTTAGAGGGTAGATGTAGAAGTTCATTTTAGTTAGCATCCTTTGGGGAACAAACAGAAGGAGGACTGATTTAGGGATGAGTATACATATTTAAAGAAAACTGTCAACCTATGAGATTGGATTTTATAAAATTGTAAAATGCTGATATTCCCCCTCCCCTTACATATAAAGGATGATGAGTGGTGTAAATAGAAAACTATAAGAAGCATGACTTTTTTTGTCTTTATTAATGATCTTAACATTAGCAAGATAATGCTTATGATGTCAGGTAGAGCCAGTTACGCTGACCAACAAGCATTGTCTCTGGAAAAATTTTTATGATGACCTGGGGCCTAAATTATCATGAAAAGTCAAATTAGTTCTCAGTTCAATTCACATTTTATGTTCAGAATGCTGTATTTTCTTCCCAAATAGAACTAAATTTAATCTTGCGCATGATTTGAAGAGGGGAACCCTGAAAGGTTAGATAAGGTCAGTGCTGTTCAATAGAACTTTACTTGGTGATGGGAAAATGCTATGTAGTCTGGCTTGTCCATTATGAGAGCTCCACAGGAGCTCTGATGGTGTCATCCAGATTGTGTTGCTTTGCTAACCAATCTAGTAGCCACTCCCTACATTGGCTCTTGAGCAACTGAAATGAGTTGAGTGCAACTGAGGAACAAGGTTTTTTCATTTCAAGTAATAGACCCATATGTGGCTAGTGGCCGCCATATTGGACTCCAAAGTGCGAGGGGTGTTGTGGATTGGAAGGTAGCATTAAGGTGTGCACGGAGTAACAAAATCAACAGAGAGTTTGTAATCTGGTATCATGCCGTGAGGAAAGAACTTTTTGTATGTTGATCTCAAATATTATAAGTAAAAAAAAAATTGATTATTGCCTTTTGGACCAAGAGATGACCAGTGGGACTTAGAGATTGTTTTATTAAGCCCTCCTTTCTGGGATTATTAGCTGCATGTTAACATAGTGCCCCCCAAATAGTAGTTAGACAGTAGCTGTAAAACGTTTGACTTGCAAGCTCTGCATGACCTGTACTGTGAAATTGTGTTTAGGGTCTTGTGGCCAAAATCTAAATGTTACAGAAAAAAAATGCCTAATGAAATCCTTCTTTGCTTCCAACTTCATCTTGCCCATATTTCATCACTGCGTTTGTCAGATGTGAAGTATCAGAGCAAGCATGTTTTGTGGTATTCCTAGATAGAGTTCGTGTTTTGGTTTGCCCTTGAAGTTGGCCAGCTTGTCATTGTATTTGGTGTAGGTATCATTTTTCAGATGCCAAACTAAAAAGTAGGTACTATATTTAGAGAGAGAGATTTGATATTATTCTAGTCTTGTTTGTTTTCTGTTTGGGTGATTACTATGAGAATTTAAGATTTGAAGCAGTGCACAAAGGCACTTTTCTTCAGACAGTAAAACCCCCCAACCATTTTCAATGGAATTTAAAGACTTAAGAGTCTTTGCAATTACTTGAATGTATTAAGTCAGCCTGGGATATATCTTCCTATTCAGATCAGTCCATTTCTGATAGCTCAGTATTTATTCCAGTCTAGAGTTTGGTTTAAAAGAAAGAGTCCCTATGGTTTATTTGGAAAAAAAAAATCTATGGTGTATAAAAGTTGAATATTCTGCTTTCATTCCCCACCCCCCTCAAGCACAGAGCAAATGCATTTGCTTCAAGTTAGCAGAACTGGAGATTTTGTTGTTGTTGTTGTTGTGGGTGGGTGGGTTTGGGTTTCTGTTGTCCCGCTCCCCTTTCTGGAGCTTATCAATGGGCAGGACTCTTCTCTGCTTGCCTTTATAAGAATATTTTTACAAAAATGCTATTTTTCTTTAGGCTGATGAAGCAGCTAGATTGCTCAGGCTACCCCATTTAGGATGTCCAAAGGTATTGCTAGGAGACGAGTGATATGCAAAAGATTTGCGTTTCTGTCTGATGCTGCCAAGCAAACAGCATTGGTTTCCACATGTGAAGTGTTGACAGGTGATGTGTCATGATTGACCTAGATGGAGAAGCTGTTCCTTGATATTTTTATCATTTTCAGTAAAACATCACCTACGGAATAATCTTGACCAAAGCAGAAACACCAGAGAAGAATGAGGTAGTCAAGATGATTCAGTAACTCTTTTGAAAATGAAAGTCTATTTTAAATGCAAAATGATTGACGGTTGCTGAAT